ACAGGCTCCAGGATCCCTTTGTCCTCTTTGCCTGCAGCTTCCAGAGGCTGTTTGCAGAGGATTTGGAAGACTGACCCTTGTGCTTCTAGAACTCCACCCCAGCCCCGGCCTGGAAAACAGACAAAGAGGTTCTCTTGGGGCCCGTGGGGGTTCTCCTGGGGGGCGGAGGGAGCCCCGCCTCCAGCAGCTCCTCTTGGCCCCTGGCTGCCCACCCCCGGCTGCATGGCTGAACGTCCCTCAAGGCCCCGGGGCTGGCCGGCCCCTGCGCCCTGATCGGCGTCTGGCGGGCCCAGGACGAGGGCCACCGTCCAGGGACAGGACAGGGGAGGGGCCGGGCACCACGCTGGACAGTGCTGCGGAGGAGAAACCGCTCACAGCGCACACGCGCGGACCCTGCATGGCTCAGCTGGGACGCGGGTAAGGAAGGGGTTAGAGGCCCTGGAATGTTCCAAAGGCCGTGAGGCTGACGTCTGACCACAGACCAGATGAGGAGCAGGAACCAAGCCCAGGATAAGCTGCCCCTCCCTCAGCCTGGACCCCAGGGCTCAGGTGTGGTCTCTGAACTTTCTAGAACCGCCGAGAAGGAGCTCATGGGCACCAGGCCGGTTCTGCCAAAGGTCCCTGAGCGTCTTGGCCCCGAATTCCCAGAGCAGCAGAAGGAAACCTGCAGGGAGACCCCGAGTCGTGGGAGTCTGAAGTGCGTGGGCACGTGGGGTGCGGGGACACAGGAAAGGAGGTCTCTCCCCAGAGGGCACCCGATGGACCCTGCACGGACATCTGAATGTCCGTCCGGGGGCAGAGCGGTGGGGGGTTTAATCCCACAGCTCACTGGGTGTAGTACGTCAACTCTCCTGAAGATAGGAGCCTCTCTCCCCTCTGAGAGGGGCTGTGAGGATTAAATGAGATCACACTTGTGAAACCCCCGGGCATTAGGTCTGACCCCATGGAGGTTCAGGATCAATGCTAGTCTTCCTTCCATCCATCCATCCATCCACTACTGCAGGAATAAATCAAATCACAGGAGAACTGCTCACACACAAACAAAACTCTTCAACAGGAGTAGCTTCCACCAGCGGCACTTGGGAACTAGCTCCTTTCTGTTGCAGAATTAATTCCTTGCCCCAACTTGCTAAAAGGGACATCTGTTTCAGTCCTGAGGAGACTGGACCCCTTTTCTGGTGCCCACCTCCTCTGGAGCTGGCAGCTGGGAGGGGGTCGCCTGACAGTGTCTCCTGGTTGGGGAAAGGTCAGGATGGAAGGTTGATGGAAGGAGGTTGGTGGAAGAGACAGGACCGATGTTCACAGCAGGCCCTGCCTTAGTCTGAGGAAGGCAGAAGAGGAGGATATGGAGGAGAGCGGGCAGCTGGGGCAGAGGTGTGGGGGTGAGGCAGGGTGCCAACTGGGTGGGGGCCGTTGTGGGGGTTCATTGCGAAGCCCACGCCCGGGCACAGTCCAGCCTCATTCAGGAGCCGGTTCTCAGGGATTCCTTCATGGTTCCCACAGCAAACACCGAGGCATCTTCCAGGCCGAGCCCTAACCCACGGAGTCACGCGTGGTGGGGACGCTGCCCCGGTCCTCAGCATCTCGGGTGATCCGCATGCGAGGCTCACACGGTGCGCAGGCCGGCGGCTAGCACCCGGGGACAGTGAGCCTGGGGGCCCCTGGAACCACTGCCCTCTGGAACAAGAACCAGGCGTGCTCACCTGCGTGCAGGACTTTTATTCAATGCGGGCACTTAGCGTCGCTCTGGCCTTGCCGACTGGTACCAGCCCGGGGTCACCTGGCCTCCGGTCCCGACAGGTGATCAGAGCCCACCTGACCGCGAGGAAGCCCCGCGCGGGGGGCGGATCCGGGACTGGGCCTCGCTGGGTCCTGCTTCCCAGAGGAGGCGGGGGGGGGGGGGGGGGGGGGCGGGGGCGGGGGACACGTCGGCTCTGGTCACCGCGGCGGGCGACTGCGCGAATGGTTTCTCAGGGCCCAATCCCCACCTGAAGCTGATTCCTGAAAGGCAGAGGAGCCGGTGCAGGCGGCCGGCGGACTGACCAGAGCGGCGGCTGGGCGGCGGGAGCGCGCGGTACCCGGCAGCGGCTGGCGCCCCTGCTGGTGCCGCAGCGCGGGTGCGGGACGCGGCCGCCGGGTGGCGCCTCTAGCGCGTCCACTGCGGGGACTCCAGTCCAGGCTGCTGGGGGCTCCTGACCGCGGGCTCCTGTGTGCCCCAAACCCCAGCCGGACGCTGGGAGGGACGCAGACTCACCGGCCTCCCCTCCCGACCCTAGCACCCCCCTCCCCGCTCCAGGATTGATGTTTGTTCAGAAACACCCAAGATGCACAGAGCCGGGGAGCTTTGGGTTCGTGGGAAGGAAGAATTCAGGCAGGCTCCACCCGAGGTGACCCCCAAGGAGAGACACAGAAACAATGGCCCAACAGAGGCTGGCTGCAGAGAAGGTGGAAGAAGGCCCCACCCTTCCCTCACTTGGGTGGAGTTGCCTGAGCTCTTGGTAGATTTCCTGTGTAAATTACAAATCTAAACCCCTGCCCCTTCCATAGACTTGGAATAAGGTATCACTCGGATCAGGCCTCCAGATCAAACGTCTGAACCCTGGTGACATCACGTCACTGCTTTTTCCCCACCATAACTGAAGGAACAGCCTGGGAGAGGTTAATCACCTTGCCCAAGGCGCTTTGGGGACATGGTGGCCAAGGCCAGGCAGGATCCTGGGGACAAGACCTGAGCCCGACCATCACTGCCACACGCCATCACCCCGGATCTGCAGACACCGCTGAACTCCAGGCGCCCTGCTCCTAGGTCTCTTCCCTGTCCCTGGTTCTTGCAAACGTCCCCCAGCTAAGGGGCACATGCAGATCTCAGCACAATCCAACCCACCTTCCCAGGGCACCGGAGGACAGCTGTCACCCACGCCACCCCCTGAGGGCAAGTGGGAAGCCCGCCCGCAGGGGAGGGGACGCAGAAGAGCTGCCAGCCAGCTAAGCCCTCAGCAAACAGGACGCCAGGAAGCCGTGAAGACAAAGCTGGAGAGCCCCCTCTGCCACGTGTGAGGCTGGAGAAGCTCTGCTGTGAGTCTTGCTGCCTTCTCTGGATCCTTCCTTCTGCCTTCCCTGACCAGAAAGAAGGGAATGTCCTGAAAAGCAGTTGCAGGTACACCTGTTGACGTGTGCCTCACAAGCGTCCTGTGAACCCCTGTGCCTTTATTACTGCTTCAGGAAGAGACAGATCTGGGAGTTCCCTGGTGGCCTAGTGACTGGGATTTCGCTGTGAAGGTCTGGGTTCGATCCCTGGTCGGGGGACCAACCTTTGTGCCTTGAGGCCTGGCCAAAATACAAAAAGGAAAAAAAAAAAAACCCAGAAAGGCAAATCTGCAAACAGCCAGAATTTAGAAGTCATGCTGAATGTGAAATTCAAGCTATCTGGGAAGACTGTAATTTACATGACAAGGTCACAGGTGATGTGAAAGAGTGGTCTAAAGTACCCTTTATACCAAAGGAAAGATGAAAATTCCATAGAAGATGATGAAAACATTGAAGCTTTCTTCCACACCTGAGTTCATGGATTCCTGCATTTTCCCCACAGACTCCAGGTTAAAACCACAGAGTAATCCTCCTGTGTGGACTGTAGCCTGCCAGGTTCCTCTGTCCATGGGATTCTCCAAGCAAGAATACTGGAGTGGGATACCATGCCCTTCACCAGGGTATCTTCCTGACTCAGGATTCAAACCCTGGTCTCCCACATTGTAGGCAAGACTCTTTACCATCTGAGCTACCAGAGAAGCCCAAGTGACCCTCAACAGGCATTTAAATTTAAAATCAGAGAAGAGGAACATATTGGTGAGGATCTCCCCAAAGAGATGAGGATCTGTCTGGAAACCTTCGCTGGTCTGGGGGTCTGAGCCCAGACTTTGCAGACAGACCTCGTCCCCCTGAATCCCAACTCTGTCACTTGTGCCCTCTGGGCCTGCACTATCTCCTTCTGCAAATGGGGAAGCAGAAGTCCTGTCCCTTTAGGGCTGCCGGGCAGGGAGCTGAATGGGGACAGGGCGGCCTCTGCACCGTGGCTCAGGGGCAGGCTGCTGCAGTCTGATGGAGGCGTTGAGAGAATGTGCCAGGCCTGGGGGCTGCTTTCCTTTCCCTTCAGGTTGTAACAGATGCCCGCCTTTCAAGAAGTGGGGTCCTGGGGATGCCTGGCTCTGACCATTCCTGTGTTGATCTCTTGGCCTGGAAGGCCTCCCTCCCTTAACCCCAGCTGGCCAGCTCTCACTCAGCCCTTAAACTTAGCTCAGATGTTGCCTCCTCCAGGAAATCTTCCCTGAAGCACACCCACCACTGGGCATGTGCCTGAGCACAGGGCACTAGACCTGTCACTATCAATGCAGATGAAACCACCAGTTGCCTCCATCTCCTTCTGCATCCACTCCCCATGGGGAACCCCCAGCTGGATGCATGGCCCATTATCTGTTCCTCCAGAGTACGGGGAACCCGTAGCCAGCCAGGGGGCATACCTGTTCCGAATGGGTGAATGAATGATTGAGTGGCTTCCCCAAGCCCCTGCACACTCAGAGAATCCTGGAATTGAGCCTGGACAGCTCAGGTTCCCTGGATGGCCTTGCAGCAGAGAGTCAGGATGGGGCCTCTGGGAGCCCCGAATCCTCAGAGATTATGGGATCGGCTGGGGTCTGCATGGGCAGGCCCTGCATCCTGTCAGAATCACCCAGCCCTGGGCTGTCAGACCCCTTCCTGCCTCCTCCTGCAGCTCCGCCCCGGAGGCCTTGTCCCAAGAGCTCAGAAGGCTTTGTTCGCATCCCAGACCAAGGAGCACCCTGGACTCACTGTGGCTGCAGAAGCTGGATTTATTGGTGGATTCTGATTCAGGGCTGCACTCAGGTCCCTGCCGCTTTGTGCCCACCACCAGCCAGATGGCCTTGGCAGGGTAACCCACAGATCAGACCTGGAAACTCAGGAATGGTCATTTCTCTTTGGTTGAGGTGCTATTTGTTTAAGAATGAAGGATAACCCCATTCAAAGCCAATGCTAGTAATGCCCAGAAGCCTGTAGTGGCCGTAGACTCTGGTGAGCACCTTGTCACTGTCATCAGGGAATTCAATAAAGGTGTTGCCATCTTCCTTCCCAAATAGGAACTGCCTCCCTTGGTCTGTGTATATGACCAAGTAGCGGAGGAAGTTCTTATAGGAGCCGTAGATTCCTATAATGTGTTCTTCTGGTTGCAGAATGGTTTCCTGAGGTGTCCCACCTGGGGCTCCATATTTCGCACTCCAGGAAGAGCCATATCTCACCTGGATACTGAGAGGAAGGGGGAGCTTTGAAGGTCCAGTATATGGATGACCCGCCAATCCCCAGTCCTCTAAACACCACCCCCAATGTCATCAGCAAGGACAGCCTATCACTACAGCATAAGTGCCTGAGCACGTGACTTTGGTGCCTTCCTGGTCTTAAACCCTGCTCTGACACTTTCAGGCTCTGTGATTTGGGGCTTGTTGACCAGCCTCTCCTGGCCTTAGTTTGCTCATCTGCAAAGTGGGAATGATCTGGGGGAGCAATGACTGAGATCTTCCATCAGGAGAGCTCCCCAAGGTGCACAGTCACCAGGGCCCTCAGGAGGTGCAGCTGGTCTCCTGGCTCCGAGAGGGGAACTGACGCCGGGCCCAGCATTTGGAGCCCCAGTCACTGCACTAGACCAGGTGGGGGCCTCAGGAGCAGGTGACCCCTATCTGTGACCTTCCCCCACCTCAGTGTCCATCCCAGAGTGTCCCCTCCTCACCTGGCCCCACCCACACTCTGGCCCCCATGGTGCCTGCTGCTCTGGCCCATTCCTTCTCCCCAGGTCCCTGGGACTCCATAATTGCAGAGCAAATATCTACCCCAGGCCTGGAGCAAAGCCCCCATTTAACCATTAGGGGAAGACCCTGGGCTTGCTGTCTCTACACTTCTAGCGTTCAATCAGTGGTCCACTCTGACCCTCCTTCCTTTTCTCTTTGACCCTAACCTGGGCAGAACTTCTGCTTTCTCATAGGCATTCTCAAACACAGAGACCATTTCTGGTTGAGCTGAGTTGGGGTTGAAAGGAGACAGTGGAGAGAAGCTCCCCTTCCTTAAGATCAACCCAAGAAGCAGAGGCTGGACTTGATGGGGGAGAGAGGAGGGGACAGGGCTGGTGTGCAGGGGAGGAAACAGCAGAGGAAGAGGGACAGACAGAAGGTGCTGGCTGGGGGCTCCAGGACCCCAAGGCCTCAGCTGACTCAGGAGACATCAGGACCCCAGTGAGGGTGGTGGGAGGAGGGACCAGCCCCCTCCCCAGGTTCCCGAGGTGGGGGCAGGTGCTGGGATGCAGTGAGGGGCTCCAGGCCCTGCTCAACTCACCTCTTGATTAGGCCCAGAGGACCTATGAACACTCGAATCCCGGTGATATCGTTTTGGAAGTCTCTAGAGGTACTGAAATAGTCACCTCCTCCACGCCCATACACTTCTATTAGATGAAAGAACCAGGTGGGGAAGAGAAAAAAATAAACACACAGTGACATGTTGGCTGTTTCTGTCCAGAGAAGGACACAGTCCCTCCTACGAGGGGACAGGCCTAAGAGCAGAGTCCGTCTGTGACAAGGGCTGGCCCAGGCCCCAGCCCTGGACGGAGGGAGGGGGCCTCCAGGGGGATGGGCTGGGGGGCCCCCCAACCAGACTTACGCTGTGCCCAGCAGGTGGGGCTCAACAGGAGGGCGAGGGTCAGCCACAGCAGCATGGCTCCTGGGGAGAAGAGGACAGGCCATCTGATCTCAGAGGGGGGCCTCACCTGACCTCGTGGGCCAAGCTTGGCGGGGGGCAGGGCCTTACCTGGCCTGTGGAGTCCTGTGGTCCAGTCCTGGTGCTGGAAGTCTGCTGGCGCCTGGAGGTCCTCCACTGGGCCTTTTATACCCTCCTGAGCCATAGGGGCTCTCCTCCAGGAGGAAGGAGCAAAGGGGTCAGCAGGGGGCAGGAAGGAGTTGGGAGGGGGTCTTCCTGGGGGAATCCCCAGAGCCATCCACGGGGAGGCTCCCGGACGAGCTCTGTGGTTGTCTTGGCCCTGCAGCCTACACAAATACAAGGAGACAATGACCGGTATTCTACTCTCACCTCTGGGTCTCTCTTCTAGGCCCTTGCACTTGACCTTGACTTCAGAGGTGGGGGAGGTGTCTGAGAGCCCTTCCCAGTTGACCAAAGAGGGTCAGCCTCACAGGGGTGCTTCAGGGTAGCTGCCCACAGAGCCTCGTGGGGCCCAGGGCTCCTGCCTCATGTCAAACCCGGTTCAGGGTCCAGAACCCCCACGTGATGACAAGCAGAAGGGGTGCAGATAGTGGCCTGGTGTGTGCACAGCCTCCTGGAGAAGAGCTGGCTGCCAGGAACCCGGGACTCCGGCTTCACCGGGATGGTAGTGCTGGGGGCTTGGTGTTGGGGTGGAGGCCCTGTCTAGCTGCCACCTCCCTTACTTACATCATGACCCGGGGCCAGGGGTCAGCACACTGCGATCCGCAGGCCAAGTCCCACCTGCCATTGCTTCTTTTTTTTTTTTTTTCTGCCATTGCTTCTTACACAATCCGTGAGCTAAGAATACATTTTACGTTTTAAATGATTAGTAAAAATTCAGAAGAAGAATGTGAGATTTGAAAAGTTCATGAAATGTCAATAACAAATGTCATTGCCAATAAACAAGTGTTATCACCCTTTTGGGTTTCCCTACAGGCTCAGCGGTAAAGAACCCACCTGCAACGCAGGAGACACAAACATGGCTTTGATCCCTGAGTCAAGAAGGTCCCCTGGAGGAGGGCATGGCAACCCACTCCAGAATTCTTGCCTGGAGAATCCCTTAGAGAGAGGAGCCTGGTGGGCTACAGTCCACGGGGTCACAAACATTTGGACACGACCGAGCAACTAGGCACACATGGAGCAGAAAGCAGCTTTGCCCAGAAGCTGGCCCCTCCTTCCGGGCCTGCACTGGTCCCCCTGGACAGGCTCCTTAGGGCTCAGCTCCCCCCCCGACTCCTGTGGCAAAGGTGAGGCCCTCACCTATCCTCCAGAGCTCCCCACGCGCCCCCAGAGGCCTCCAGCCACGTGGTGCCTCTGGGGAAAGGCAGGGCCAGCCGGCTGCAGGGGGCAGAGAAGCCCTCCCGGGGCCCTGGATCCTCCTGGGAAGGCAGAGATGCAGGAGGCATAGGACCCCGGCAGGTACAGCTGCTGGTGGAAGGGGCCCAGAGGCGGCACAAAGGGGCCTATGTTCCTGCCCCAGCCCAGCATCGGACACTTTTTCTGAAAAATCTGCCAGTTAGGAGGCTTCATTCTCACTGCAGACTGCCAGGGTGTGAGCTCAAAAGCAGGATCTGTCTGGCTGGGACTCCAGGATGCAGTACCTGGGGTGGGAGTTGGAGGAAGTGTTGGCTGCCGGCCTGGACAAGGAGGGGTGACGGGACTCGCCCGAGGACACATGGGCAGCACATTATCATAGATGGCAGGCGCATGGTTATAAGGGGCACACACGTGCTTACCAATGCATGTGTGCAACACAGGATGCACCTTCTAACATTTGCCCGGCTATCCCTACACCCAGGAGTTTGCACTTTTCCTGCAACATGCACACCTACGCTGGAAGCCCCGCCCCCTCGGTCACCCTGGCCCAGTGCTGGCTCTGAGCCCACTGGGGAGATTTAACACAGGCCCTTTGTCCCTGGGGATCAGAGTTGCGCACGAGGGGGTTTAGGAGCATTGAAACCATAATCCCCTCTGTGGGCGTGCCCCGGATCTCAGTCTGCCAGGAGCCCGGAACAGCTGGGTCCCCTTCTCCCAGCCCGGGCAGCTGCTGGGCCGACTGGCGCGTGGGTCGGGGGCAGGTCAGGACTGACATCCCTTGCCTCCCTCCCCGTGGGCTCTGCAGCCCCAGGACACTGACTGAGGCCTCGGCCCAGCGCACTCAGGGCTGGCGGGCGCCTCCCTGGGCCCCTCGGCCGGGAGCCCCTGCCTTGCTTGCTTGGAGGCTGGATCCTGCGTCCCAGGCTCAGGCTCCCGGGGCGGGGCAGGGGGTGCTGGGTCCTGCAGGCGGCCCCATCCGATGTCCGAGGCCCCAGGAATCAGATGGAAGATCCTGCTGAGTAGGGTAGGGGGGAGATCAAGAAGGGAAGGGGCATTCTGTCCCGGTCCCAAGAGAAGTCCAAAGCTGGCCTTTGTGCCTGGTGGGGCTCCCATGGTGGCTCAGACAGTAAAAACTCTGCCTGCAATGCAGGAGACCCGGGTTCCATCCCTGAGTTGGGAAGATCCCTTGGAGAAGGAAATGGCTATCCACTCCAGGATTCTTGCCTGGAGAATCCCACGGACAGAGGAGCCTGGCGGGCTGCAGTCCATGGGGTTGCAGAGCCGGGAACGACTGAATGACTTTCCCTCGCTTGCCTTTGGGGGTCTGTAGCCACACCAGGTGGCCCCTCCGGAGAGACAACTTAGCTGTGTATTTCTGAAGCTCTCGATTCTCCCTCTTTACTCACTCATTTAAAAATCTCACTGAATGCTCTAAGCAAAACATTTATCTCCAGCTTTCTGCAGAGAAACTCAGTATTTTTAAAGGAACACAAGGTAGCCTGGCCATACGTTTTTGTCTGATCTCATATGTAATTAAAGTCCCATTAGTGCAAGTGCTGAAAATAAAATGACCTCCACCCAAGAGTCAGGTTGACGGAGGCAAGATCTCCAGGTTCAACTCCCTGAGGCTGCCCTGACACAAGTGCTTTTCACCTGGTGTTAGCCTGGGCTGCTGTAACCAACACTGCAGACCGGGGGGAGGGGGAGGGCCTCAAACAACAGAGGTTTCCTTCTCACAGTTCTGGAGCCTGGAAGTCCAAGATCAAGGCTCCAAGGGACTCGGTTCTTGGTGAGGGCTTGCTTTCTGGTCCAACCCACTGCAGGGAGTTAACCAAACAGCCCAAGGTTTTCTGAGAGCCTCTCATGAACCCCAGATCCACTGTATGCTGCCTACAAGCCCCTAGACCCACGTCAATGCAAGCCTATCTGCCTACCTCTCTCTCTTTTAAATTTAATTAACTTTTTATTTTTGTCTGTTCTAGGTCTTCGCTGTTATGCATTGGCTTTCTCTAGTTGCGACAAGTGGGGGCTACCCTGTAGTTGCGAGCGTGGGCTTCTCGTTGCCGTGGCTTCTCTCCTTGTGGAGCAGGGGCTCTAGGCGTGCAGGCTTCAGTAGTTGTAGCGTGTGCGCTTGGTAGTTGTGACACACAGGCTTAGTTTCTCCCTGGCATATGAGGTCTTCCCGGACCAGACATCGAACCAGTGTCCCCTGTGCTCGAACTGGTGTCCCCTGTAATCCCCATTACAAGGCGGATTCTTAACCACTGGGCCACCAGGGAAGCCTCTGCTTATATCTTTGAGAGGCTTCACCAACTAAGAATTGCTGGGGTCCAGCATTCTTAGCGAATTACTCTGTTTGTACATATCGTGTTGTTTTCTAGAGTTTGGAAGTGTCTAAGAGAAGCAGGTCTCCATGTGCCCCACCTGCTTATCTTTCCTTCCATCTGCCTGCCCTTGAGCTTGTCTTTCCAAACCTATTTCTGGAACAATGTTCAAACAAAACTAGGGTCACTTCCAGATGGTAGAATTTAGGACATTTTTCTATTCTCTTCTCTGTTCTTTTTCGTACCGCTTCCATTTTAAAATAGGATTGAACTAATTTTACAAAGTAAAAATGATTGTTCTTTTTTTAATGGGATACATTTTTAACCTATAAGTTCTCAAAAGATATGAAATTGGAGGTTCCCAGGGTCAGGAACAATGTGGGCAGTGGGTTCTCTTACTTCCCTGGGGGAGTGTATTGAGGACCTTCTCACAACTTAAAAACCTTACAAACATGAAGCCCATTTGGCTAAAACATTGCACCCACAGAAAAGTTATCCTAAGAAATGATGGAAAAAAAAAAAAGAAACGATGAGAGGGACTTCCCTGGTGGTCCAATGACTAAGACTCCATGCTCCCAACACAGGAGGCCTCGGTTCGATCCCTGGTCGGGTAACTAGATCCCACCTGCCACAACTAAATGATCTTGCATACCATTACTAAGACCCGGTGCAGCCAAATAAATAAATGAGTGGAAGTGATTGGGAAGGTGTGCCGAATTTATAAATTAAGGTTTTCCTGAAGATATCATTTTTAATGACAACAACTTTTCAACTATCCAACACTAGGAGACTGATTACAAGTTTGGCTCTGGTGGGTTTTTTTTTTTTAAGTTTCTTCTTTGAGCTCCTTTGATTGATTTTTATTTTCTAACAGGAAGGCATTATTTTGATAATCATCATAAAGCTACTTTTACTTTGCTAAGAAGTCCGGTTCTGCAGAGCGATTTTCCCCTTATCTGATCATTTGCCCAAGTTGGGGGCGTGATGAGCAGCCCCAGGCAGGACACACGCCAATTCTTCAAGCCATGATCTGCTTCCCACTTTAAAAGGAAAAACAAGCCTCTTTATTAGTCAGATGACCTGGTGGCTCTGCCATCGGATTCTGTAGAAGAGAGATCTCCTGGAGGTGGACAGAAAGGGAGACCCCCGTGAAGAGGGACTCTATGCAGGGAACCTGGGCAGCTGGTGAATGACAATGAGGGTGAGGGCGATGGGAAGGCAGGGCCCAGAGCTGTTATAATATAGACATGAGTGCATGAAAATGAGCACTGTTTCAGGCACCTCAATTCGCTGTATTTTCACTACCGGCTGTATTTAGTAAAATAGGAAAATGTCAGTGTTGTGCCATTTCCTCACTTGCTGGTAAACACCGGCCCGGCTTGACAGCCGGATCTCAGCTCACTACGGCCCCCTCGTGTTAGATGGGGCACCCGGGAGGGACAGGTGCAGAAAAGAAAGGAAATTGTACTGGAGAAAAATCCACCTGAGAAGGGAACTGCGAAGATTCAGCCTGGCCCTAGAGACGGTGGGGCAGCATCCATACATCCCTTGAGAAATCCCTCATAAGTGAGGGTTCTATGGTCAAGAAATGTGGGAAACACAACCCACCATATTTTCTCTTTCAGATTCCTGATGCATTTTAGCAAATAAAAGTCATTGGAAAGTTCTGCAACAGAAAATTTTTTATTATTACAACTTTTATTCTGAAAAACTAATTTTTCTTTTTTTCTTTATATTTTTTATTTTTTATTGAAAGATAATTGCTTTACAGAATTTTGTTTTCTGTCAAACCTCGACATGAATCAGTCATAGGTATATCCCTTCCCTTTTGAACTTCCTTCCCATCTTCCTCCCCATCCCACCGCTCTAGATTGATACAGAGCCCCTTTTTACACTGGTAATGTAAGTTTCCCTGTTACTTTTCCCATACATCTCACCCTCTCCTCCCCACTCCCCATGTCCATAAGTCTATTCTCTATGTCTGTTTCTCCACTGCTGCCCTGTAAATAAGTTCTTCAGCACCATTTTTCTAGATTCTGTATGTATGCATTAGAATTCGATATTTATTTTTTTCTTTCTGAGTCACTTCACTCTGTATAATAGGTTCTAGGTCATCAAAAAAATCTCTTAAAAGATTTAACTTTCCCCAACGTCTGTGGTCATAGGATCCTTTTACAAATGAAGTCTCTTAGCCCTGGGAAATAACATTCCATGGTACACATGTTGGGAACCACTGCTAAAATGGGGCCATGGCTGAGGAAGACTGGGCTGTTCTAGAACTGATCCAGAGAAAGAGAAGTAAGGTGGTCATTCTGGTGCTCACACTGGGGCCTCAGGAGCTGGGCATTCTCTTCCTTTCAGAATCCTGCTGGCTGGGTCACAGGATGACGATGGTGATGATGGTGGTGGTCGGGGTGCTGGTGGTGATGAGAGCCCATGCATAGTGCTTATTCTGTGTTTGCTGTTTAGTCACTCATTTGTATCTGACTCTTCTGCGACCCCATGGACTGCAGCCTGTAAGGCTCCCCTGTTCATGGGATTTCCCAGGCAAGAATACTCGAGAGAGTTGTCATTTACTCCTCCAAGGGATCTTCCCAACCCAAGGATCGAACCAGCATCTCCTGAATTGCAGGTGAATTCTTTACCACTGAGCCACCAGGGAAACTTGCTTCTCCTACACCAGATATTGTTCTAAGCCATTTATAAATTAACTCATTTTATTCTAACCATCTGTAGGAAAGGTACTAATTTTTAGATATAAAAAATGAAGCTGAACTCATTCATAGCTGGTGGGAACATACTATTGGTACCTCCAGTTTAGAAGACAGTTGGGTGTGTCTCCCAGGCCGCTGTACAGTTTGTGACATGTTTAAATCAAAATAACACCTTCAGGCCCACCCACGGGGCCTCCTGATGGCCCGAGGGGGCTATTTCTTCAGATAAGAGGCTTCCTGAGAGGCCCACCGGTCTCAGGTGAGATTCTCAGAGGTGGATACTGAGGGGGGTGAGGATGGTGTGGTGGCTGGCTGCAGCCTGCTTCTCCTTCTGAAGGGAGAGCACCGTCATCCAGCCTGGGGGACCCCACCTGAAGCTGGTCTGGGGGCTGGGGGCTGGGCGCTGGGCACCACCTCTGGCTCTGCCCCCAGCACCTCTCAGGGTTGACGTGGGAACTTCCTCTCGTGGCGGGGAGGGGGTGCTGCCCGCGAACTGCACAGCAGCCTGGGCGGGCCAGAGCTGGGTGGGCACCGTGTGTGGGAAACCTTCCTCCCCAGGACAGGGGTGTGAGGCCCTCAGAGGCCACCCTGAAAAAAGAGGGGAGATGTGAATATTTCTTGGTTTTGTTCACTTACTTATCGACTAGACGCCACTCCCTCCCTCACAAGAAGGTCTGTCTGGGTCACTCATGGGTCACCAGGTCTGAAAGCAGAGATCACACCCCCACACCCACCCCTCCCCTGTCCCAGGTCCCCTCACCACATGGCTGCCCGTCTTCCTGGTATCGGCTCAGAAGCTCCTGGGCTCCACCCCTGCTGGCTCTACAGACTCCTGGCCAGGCCAGGCCCAGGTCCCCGTATGGGTCCCTGGAAGGGATCAGTGGGGGACACAGTGTCTTGAGGGCCAGACCTGGGCAAACAGAGCTGGTGACATATCTGGGCCCTACTGCCCACCTCCCAGGACCTTCCTCCTCTGTCCTGCCCTCTCCACCTTCAGGGGACTAACTCTGGCCCAGAGGGAGCTCCCTGGTCTCGTCTGCCCAGGACAACACTGGGTCTGACATAAGCCTCCCCAGCCAAGCCTATGGTTTTTCCAGGAGTCATGTATGGGTGTGAGAGCTGGACCATAAAGAAGGCTGAGCACCGAAGAATTGATGCTTTCAAATTGTGGTGCTGGAGAAGACTCTTGAGAGTCCTTTCATAAATGATCTTTCCGATTGAACTAACCTGAAAGGATTTTGTTGTTTGCAAGCAAAACCCACATAGCACAGATGGGTGGACAATGATTTAGGAGTTAAGGAGTCGTCTTGGAGTGGACGGGACGCGAGGGACCGTGAGGGTGTCCAGGAAGCCACCCTGGGCCACCGAAAGTGCGGCAAGGTGTCAACTTGAACATATACACTTTTATTAGCAAAGGGGACAGAAGGGGACTGGGCCTGACTCAGCAGATGGCCCCAGCTCTCGCGGGCCGTTGGCTGGGCTCAGGCCAGCTGTAGGAATGGGAGAGCCCAGAGCAGAGGAAGGAGCAGCAGCAGGAGGCAGGGGTCCAGCCTGCAAGTGTTGTTTTTGGCCAAAACCTCTCGGATCCACTTGTAGTGCGCACTGACATTGGTGTAGACACCCGGCCGGTTGGGCCTACCGCAGCCCACTCCCCAGCTCACGACTCCAACTTGATACCACAGCCCTTTCTTTTCACAGACCAAGGGCCCACCTGAGTCACCCTGGGGACCAGCATGGGTGAGCCCAGCCTGGGGCGGCGCGGGAGGGGTGAGCAGAGAGGCTGGGAGAGCAGGAGGGGCTGTGGAGCCGGGCAGACGGGGTGCAAATCCCACCCCTCCCCTCCACAGAAGTGAGCAAGCCTCAGTTTCTGCATCTGCAAAGTGGAACAGTCGTCCCTACCCCCGCCCCCAGGGTGGACACAAGGCCCAAATGGAGGGCAGGGATGGAGGGTGTTTTCTGGCCGGGGCGGGGAGGGGGGTGCTGGGGTGATGAGGTACTACAGGCCCAGAAGCGCGAGCTGGGGACGGGAGGGACACTCACAAAGCAGGAATCCTTGCCACCTTGAGGGTCACCAGCGCAAATCATGTCTCCCCAGATGTCAGTGCGGAAATCGGGCATTGAGAACAGGTGATTACACATGGTGGTGTTTATGATCCCGACCTGCACTTCCTGGAGGGTGTAGGGATATGGCAGACCTGCCGAGGAGTGGAGGGAACAGAGAAAGACGGTGTCCTGAGCCTCTCCTCTGCCATCGGAATGGCACAGGCTACGAAGGCATGCGGCGGGGGGACCCTGGGGCACCCACAGTACCCGGGACATTGCCCTTGACCCCTCTGCTCTAGCCCAGCACCCAGCACGTGGTGGGTGATGATCACACCACGGCAGGGTCTAGAGGAGGGACAGGCTGTTATAGTCTCCCTCACTGTAGCCTACAGACAACAGGCCCTGTTCCAGCCCCCGCTCCAGGCCCCGGAGAGAGACCTTGGCACGTCCAGGGTGGGGCTGGTGCAGCTGGGACGGTTTAGGATCTGCACAGTCCAGCGCCCAGTGCCTGCGGACGTGGGGCAGCCTGGCGCACTCTCTCTCCCCCTGCAACGCGCCTGCCCAGCCTGAGCCCAGAGCTCTACCAGGCGCTCCTGCAGCACTCCTGGGATGCAGTGCAATCAGCCTCCGTCTCAGGTAAGGAAAGATTCAGGAGGAAGGTCACCCTCCCCCAATCCTGGCAAAGCACCAGGAGCTGCCAGAGCCA